GGACGTACGTTATAGTAGTAGGTCGGGGGGGGGGGGGGGAATGGCTTTTGTAACGGGGGTCTTCTTTCTTTTTCTCGATCTGCAACATCTCTAAGATAAAGCATCAATTGTAATACTTTCCGATAAACAGTTTCTAACATCCAATCTCGGATCTTCATGAGATCAGACAAGATCATTTGTGTATTCATTATTTATCTTCTTTCGTTCTAATGATTATTATTCTTAGCTAAGATTTACCCCTTCATTTTCTTTGATTGATTTGTTCAAAAAGGTTGTAATATCTTTTGATCCAAACAATTTGGCGCCATCTGTAGGGATTTCTATAGCCAAGGTTTTAATTTCATCTAGACCGCTGAAAGAAGTAAACACCTATCCTCAACCTCGCAAAGTTCTGTAATGGCAGAAAAGGGAGAGATAAGATCCAAGGCGATAGTAGACGTCACGAACAACCTGCTAGGCTCCATCAATGAAGCCGGCCGGGAAAACGATGAAAGCGTAACGCCAAGTACTACACTTGAGGGAAATATCGTGTCCACCCCTCACGAAAGCGTGACTATCTCACGTGAGAAGGAAACCTCAATGCCTGCAGTCGTAGAAGCACCACCAGCTGTGAAGAAACTATTAGAGGAATGGATGACAAACACCCTGAGCAGCATACTGGACAAACCCACTCAAAGAAATATCGGAGGCACAATACACGCAGAAACCGCAGCTGTCACCAATAAGCCGGAAACTCCAATCACAGGTAACACTCACATTGTCGTTGATGCAGATAATGATGCAATCGCGGCCATTCTAAAGAAAATGGAAGACATGGAGAACGAGAACAAAACACTCCGCGATCAGATGAAAGAACATCAGGAAAGGGTCGATAAAATACCGGGCGCTCTGCAGTTGCTACCAAAATGCGATGCAGGCCGATTCGTCGAGCAGCCGTACAATGAAAGAGCAGCCCCTCACACTATCCCGAAAACATTCAAAATGCCGCCATATTTGAAAATATACGACGGCACAACAGATCCGGATGATCACCTGATTCACTATGTTACCGCGGTAAAAGGCAACGATCTATCAAAAGAACAAGTTCCCTCGGTACTGTTGAAATATTTCGGCAAAACTCTGACAGAGGGGCATTGACATGGTACTCCCAACTGCCAGCGCGGTCGATATCGACGTTCGAAGAAATGGCAGATAAGTTCGTCACCGCCCACGCGGGAGCGAGAAAGGCGGAAGCCAGAGTAAATGACATCTTCGCCGTTACACAAACGATGGGCGAGGGACTTCGGGACTTCCTAGCCAGATTCAACAGAGTAAGAATGAGCCTACCCAACGTTTCGGAGGGAATGGCGGTGGTAGCCTTCCAAAATGGGTTAAACAAAAGCGGGTCAAAAGCAACCAAGAAATTTCTGAGCAGGCTCATAAAATACCCTCCCACCACATGGGAAGAAATCCATAATGCCTATTGTGCTGAAGTAAGAGCGGATGAGGAAGACTTGAATGGACCGCTCCAACGGCTAACATCGGTCCAGACCGAAGCAAAGAGGGAGCGCCGTAACGATGGTCGGAGGGGTCAACTATCCCGTTTCATACGAGAAAGGCATCAGCCTTTCATCTGGGCATCCATCCCACCACCACCACGACAAGCAGATGTCACTCCCCGACATACCGGGCCACACCGAAATGAAAGAGGTATGCCCGCATTGCTTTCTGCTCATAGCTTTTGTGTTTCTCCTTTAGAAATAGTATATGCACTGGAAAAGCTCGGCACAAAGGTGCAGTGGCCGCAAAAGATGAAGTCGGACCCGAGTACCCGGAGATCGAACGTTCTGTGTGAATTCCACTAGGAAAGGGGACACAGGACCGAAGACTGCATAGGTCTGTGGCAAGAAGTAGTAAGAATGTTAAACTAGGGGCATCTGAAAGAGCTGCTGAGCCACCGAGGACGAACCAACTTCGCTCGGGGACGCGATCAACCTCAGGGACAACCAAAGCCACCCTCGCCAGCCCGTACCATACAAATGATCATCGGAGGTGGTGAAAATGCGGCAATCAACCATGTGAAATTCACCGCCACACATAAACTCAAGCGGACAATCACCCATGAACGGTATGACGACTTCGAAGATAGTATCATCTTCGATAAGTCGGATGCCAACGGTCTGTCTTTCCCTCACTACGATGCTTTAGTTATAACTTTGTGTATTGCTGATACCGATGTGAAAAGAATAATGGTTGACGACGGGAGCGGCGCGTGTATTATCCATCCCAGAGTTGTCTCACAGATGAGACTCGAAGATAGGATAATACCGCGTTGCATAACACTAACGGGTTTTAACAATGCACTGGAACGGACCTCGGGAGAAATAATGTTGCCCGTTCTAGCAGGAGGGGTCACCCTGGAAACGACGTTTCACGTCATGAATCAAGAAACAGCCTACAATGCTATCATAGGGTGTCCATGGATACATGCCATGCGAGCCATCCCGTCAAGTTTCTATCAAGTAATCAAATTTCCTACCCTATGGGGGATATTCAGCATCCGAGGCGAGCAACGCACCACCCAAGAATGCTACCGCATCACCCAAGAATGCTACCGCATCACCCAAGATTGCACAGACACCAAACAACTTCAAGGGGAAAGTGCGGAAGCATAGCAATCAGCCATATCATGAACCAAACCTGACGTACAAATAGAGGCCATCAAAGACCCGAATGTCGTGGAAGCTTGCAAGGCTACCATAGAAGACCTCGATCCCGTCCAACTGGACAACACCGACGGCATAAAAAAGGCCTAGATCAGATATGCTAGGAATCTCAAGGGATATCGCCACACACAAGCTGAATGTCGATCCTCTTTACCCGCCGGTGCGGCAAATGAGGAGAAAGTTCAATGCCGCCATCAACGAGGCGGTTAACGAAGAGGTTGATATTACTCGCTAATGGTTCCATCCGAGAGTCGAAATATCCCCAATGGGTCGCCAATGTGGTCATGGTCAAAAAGAAAAATGGGAAATGGCGGATGTGTGTCGACTTCACCGACCTAAACAAAGCATGCCCGAAAGATTCCTTCCCGCTAACACACATCGACCGGCTCATCGA